GGCGGCGGGGAGGGTCTGTGGGGCGTTGGGGGGTGTCTGTGGTGTATCGGGGAGGGTCCATAGAGCATTGGGGACTGTCCACGGGCATCGGGGGGTGTCCGTGAGCCATTGAAAAGGGTTCACGGGGCATTGGAGAGGGTCCACAGGGCAGCCGGGGATGTCCGTGGGGCATCGGGAGGGGTTTGTGGGGTATCAGAGGGTGTGCATGTGGCATCGGGGTGGAGGGTCCGGGTGGCATTGGGGACTGTCTGTGGGGAGTTGGGGGTGGGCGGAGAGAGGCCAAGGGGCACCAGGGAGGGTCCATGGCCTCTAGTGGCATGTCCCGGGGCACTGCAGGGATCCGCAGGGCACTGAGGGGGTGACAGTAGGGCATCAGGGGTGGCGGGGGGCACTGGGAAGCCTCACCTGGCTCTGAGATGGTGGAGGGGCTGGGGTGGCTGGGCTGCCACAGGAGGCAGTGGGAGTGTCCCGTGGGGCACTGGGGACTGTCTGTGGGGTATGGAGGGGGTGTCCATGGGGCATTGGAGGTGCCCACCTGGCTCTAAGGTGATGGAGGGGCCAGGGACATTGAGCAGTGTCCATTGGACATGAAGGGGGTGTCTGTGGGGCATTGGGGTGGCCCTGAGGTGATGCAGGAGCTGAGGGTGGCTGGACTACCAGAGGGCAGCAGTGGGACTGGGGAGGATTTGTGGGGTGTCGGAAAGGCGTTGAGATGATGGAGCACTGAGATGGTGGAGGAGCTGGGGTCACCATGAGGGGCTGAGCTGTCAGGGAGCCTGGGGGGAACCATGGGACATCAGAGCATATCAGTGGGGCACTTGGGACCCTCCCTGATCCCAAAGCATTGGAGGGGCTAGGACCACCATGTGGGGCTGAGCTGGGAGGTGGACTGCACCCTGGGCCCTCCGCTCCACCACAGAGCTGACTGCTGTCTCCCCCTTGTCCACAGAACACCCCAGGTTGGAAGGGACCTCTGAAGATCATCTGGTCTGACCTGTCATGGGGAAGGGAGCCTGGATGAGGTTATCTCACACCCTGTCCAGTCACATCTTGAAACCCTACAGCGATGGGGACTCCACCATGTCCCTGGGGAGGTTGTTCCAGCAAGTGATTGTTCTCACTGTAACATATTTCTTAGGTTGAGATGAAACCTTTCCCGGTGCAACTCATTGCCCCTTGTCTTTTCCATGTGGCAACTTGTGAAGAGAGACCCCCTCCTCCTGCAAACTGATTTTTTTATACTTTCTTGGTGTTTCAGGCCAGGACCAGCCAGGAAACACCGCATCTAACTTTTGCATTTAATGAAAGAGGGGGGTCGGACACTGAATTCGGCTGTCGCAGCACTTCGTCACCGGGGACAAGCTTCCTTCAAAATGACACAGAAACCACTGCAGCCAAGCGCTGCTCCAGTGTCTTCCCTCTTTCTCCCCACAGCTTTTCTGTAATTCCCTCCTAAATAGACAAGTTTGTTTAAAAAAAAAAAAATATTAAAGCGCCATGCTTTGACCCTCGACACTCCTATTCATGTCTGGTCATGACTATCTGAACATCTCCAGTAGAGTTGTCCCCACCACGATGGCAACCCTTGCAAGGTGTGCAGAGCTGAGGTGGCCTTGAAGGAGCTACTGACCAACCCACTGTCTGTGAAGCACAGCAAATAACCCAGCTCACCAGGGAGACACAGAGCAGCCAAATTGCGACTCTGGGCAAGGAGGTACCCGATTGCCGTGCCGTGGGATGTGGGGCTGCTGGGTTCAGACACAGGACCTTTTCTTGCCCCTCTCCTGGCACCTCGTGGCTTCTGGTGAGGGGAGAAGACACATCCACCTCCTGCTCAGAGCTGGCAGTAGGGTGTCTGGCCCAGACAAGAGGTCTGCTCTTTGAGAGGAGTGGGTAGATCTGTGCAGAGACCCGTCCAAGCACCCCAAGCCTTTAAAGTAACTGCTTAGCCAGCCAGGCATCCACATGCAGGCCACAATTTTTTGGGTAACTGAAGTTATCTGTCAATGTGTTCTCATGCAAACAGCAGGAGCCAAAGGCTGGCATGATGCTGCCCCACCAGCATCACCACCTCTGCCTGGGGCAGGCATAGCGAGGTGGCCACATCCAGCTAGTGGGCTGTCAGTACCTGGTGCAACAAGCAGGGGAGACCCAGCCCCGGGGTGTAGATGACCTCCTGGGGGCTTTCTCGCCCAGGTGTGGACCTGTGGGTCGCAGGGAGCAGCACAGAATCCTGTAGAGGTGGAGCTCCCATGTCCCCACAGAAGGGGTGTGCAAGGAGGAGAGCCCCCCCTCTCAGCAGAGGGGTGCCTTTCCCCCCCCCTAAAAGCTGCAAGAGGGGTGCACATAACCATCTGCATGTGTGCACATGCGGGTGTGAGCAGGACTTCTTGGGATTACTCATAGATGGGTGCTTAGAAATTTGCTGTTCATTTTAAAAATTAACATTTCAGAAATATCTATTACTTCTGCTGAGACTCAATGCTTTCTGGTTAATTATGTGTTATTAATCTATAAACAGCTTCAATCCTGATTTAATTTAAATTGCATGAATGGAGTTTTTTCCTGCAACAGCCACCATGGTGCTCATTGGTGTAAAAAATGTGTGTGACCAACAGTGACACAGTGAGGTGCCAGGGGAGTCTCTCAAGCCCGAGATGTTGGGCACTGAGAGGCGAGCAGGTTCCTCCAAGGACCTGGGCCCCTCTGCCTCTCCACCCTGAGCTCGAGGGACAGGCTGTGAAGCCTGTAGGTCCACAGAAACTTAATGGAAATAGCAGGTCAACTTCTCCAAGCCTCCCTGGACTGAGAGGCCATCTCATCCCTTCCCCATGAACTGCACAAGTCCTTTCCCTGAAGAGCCAGATGATGCTGGCTGAGGTCTCTGTCCTCAACCTCAACCTTCAGATGAAGGAATTCAGTCCTCCAGACCCAGGACTGGTGGTCTCCATCCTCTCCTTGGGTCTCTCTCCCTCTGCCAAGCTGGAGGACCAGCTATAGGCCACCAGAGCAAAGAGAACCTGGCTCTTCCCTCTAACGCACTCTAGAAGGTCCTTGCAAAGGAGGAGGTGAGGGAGAGGAAGGGCAGGTCATTAACAGGAGCACTCAGCCCTGCATCCACAGCCCTTGCATGTCTCCCCAGGTTCTCACACTTGCCACTGAGGCCTCTGGGTCTCTGGCACATGTCTCGGTTACCACTTGTTCTTGGGAGACACTTTTCTTCTCTTCCACCCTCTATCACACCTGCTCCCAAACTGGCTCAAGCAATTTTTATGGCTGCACAACTCTGCAAGATACCCTGAAAGTCGTCTGCTGAGGACTTGGCCAATATGATATAAACATCATGTACCTGCTCATCAGCTGTGAACCCCATCTCCTTGGCTAAAGCAGCTGATCAGCTTCATTCCAGCAACCCCCCAGTTAGGTTCTCCTCCCAAAATAATGCCGCATGGCAGCTGAGACAGATCTCTGTGAGCCAACCAAAATTTAGTCACCTAAAAGACTAATTTGCTTCCTGGGTTCTGTTAACAGACAAAATAACCCTGATTTTTTTTTTTTAGTTTATTATACAACACACAAATACATCATTTTACAATGTAGTAAAAAAAAAAAAAAGGACTTAACAAAAGCCTCTCAGAAGAGAAAATCCATTACACACATTTCAGGAGATCGAATATTCCCCTGTCTCTCTGGGACAACCCTTACGGTTCTTTTCCAGCTCGCACTGTGAATGTAGAGGGTTGAGTACTCCTAGCTCGAAGTGAGTGTGTGTCCAGTTCTCTGCTGGTACAGAAGAGGTGGCAGCTGAAAGGGGCAGCAGCAGGGCTTCACTGGGCAGGTACGGCCAGGCGGGGAAGCAGGGGAGCTGCCTTTTGGCTGCGCTCGGCAGACATATGTTCCAAGCGCTCTGTGTAGAACCCGTTGAAGTCCAACCTGAGAGACAAAAACCCCAGAAATTTCAGCAACCCACTGGCTCAACACCTCCCAAAAGCGGCATGCAGCAAGCTGAACGTGCCACCAAGGGCCCCCGAGAGCTCGGTGCTGCAAGTGCCGCAGTGCACGTGCTCATCAATGCACTCACAGGCAGCAAGGGGATCCAAAAATACATAAACTCTTTTATAGGGTCAGACGAATTTTAGGACAAAGTTGGTTGAAATGAGGGATGTGAAGCAAAGCAAAGTAAGTCTCGCTGTGGGAAGAAGCGGAGGATGCTTGCTTGTGCAGCAAGGGTGTCTGTGCCACAGCATGGACCTCTCAAAGCGGCTGCACTCCCCCTGCCCACCCCACTGAGCACAGCCTTGCCCCTGGAGGAGAAACCTTTCCCAGGGCATCAGCTGAATGTGGCTACACCGCAGCGAGCTCCAGACCTGCCATCCCCGCACGGGACTGCCCCGGGCTGGGTAGACACAGCGGCTTGTTCAGAGTGAGACAGGGATGTCTGCACTGTGCCACAGGTGTTGTTGGTGACACCTCTTCTGTGCTCGTCCCTTGACAACAGGCTAAATTTCACCTGTTCTTTACAGGTGTATAAAATACATTGGGAAGGACCAATTGCTAATAGCTTCTTCTCCGGAGCTACAGTTTGACCACACAACCCTGGAGACAGGTCATTTGGGGACAAGGCACCAGGGTTGAGGGTTCCTCAGTCTCCGCACCTTCTCAGCCACTTCCCACCACTGCTTAATACCAGAGTTTACCACCGCTGAACTCCAGTATTAATTCCCATATGAAATCCACCATATTATCCACCGTAACTACCACGAAATGTTGCAGTTTCCATTACCACCACCTCCTTGCTAACACAAGTATGCTTCAAGCAGATTCATGATTCAAGAAGACGAGTAACTGGTTGGAAGATGATCAGTCAAAATCAAAAGCATTGCTGATACTTGTAAATGCCTCTCCAAAGCAGGCAACATCAGCAATATCACAATCCTGTCTCCTTGATAATCCAAAATGATGCTACAAAACCACCCAGCTCCACGCCTGCTGTGACCTTCCTTAGGCAGATCTCTGCATGACAAAGCCAACTAAGCACAACTTAAAAATATGTGCCCTGGGAACAGTAAGCGATAGTCGATATAAGCCTGTGAATCACACAAAAGTTACTCTCTCCATTTCTCAAATTCAGTTGCTCCAATACTAAATGAATGGGCACAATATTTGAGTTTCATGTTGCTTAACAACCTTACACAAACAGCAACAAATTGTTCCTTGACATTTTTTGGTGACTGCAGAAAACAGAGCCTCGACAGATGGAATTTATCTGTTGCTCTCTCCTAGTTGAAAAGCTTACATCTCTTTTGTCCTTTAAGTGTTATACAAAGGAAACCTGACACCGAGGCGGGCATATTTACCAAACTTTGATTCAAATATAAGGCCAGGACTCATTTACATCCTTGCTTTGAGGATCTGTTCCATTTCTAAAGTTGCTTTATTCCAAACTTCTTGAATTTTTATGTGCTTCCCTTTCAGCTATGTTTTTAGGGTTAAATGATGTTTCATAACTGTTTCTTAAGAATTTGTATGGTGTTTCCTCAAACTCTGCTGACACTTCAGTTTCTTGTTTTGTGGCCGGAACTTTTATTCACCGGGGTTTGCAACACTTCATACGTCCTACCGGTCTTACTCTAAGCTCAATGATTGCTGTTTCCTCCAAACTGGAGAAGGGTATCTGATGAATGCTAACAGCACTTGATGGGTAAGATTTCTAAGCATTTGGAATTAAGTAATCCTTCTGACAAAGTCCTCTAAGCTGTAATTCTCCTTTGCACTACTGGGATGTGAAGGAGTGACTCTGAACTGCAGATTTTCTGCAGTTGCCAACCTTCTGTCAGCACTGCTACTGATGGAGCCAAGGCAGTCCTGAGCAGGACTTCAGCACACTGAACATCTGTGAGTGATGTGCGAGCTTCCCCGCTTTGAAGGAAACCCTCTGGATCTCCGTCTTCTGTTGTTTGGTGCTACAAATATGATGCTTGTGCCTCAGTTACTCAGTATTGTAAACTGAATAAATATTAACCAGGATCAAATAAATAAAAGCACAGTACCAGAATTACGAATAAAAGGGGTATTTTGTTATCTATCTTACATGTTGGCTATCACCCTTGAAAAGCAGTCATATAAAAAGGTTATCATTTATAAGAAAAGACCGGTATGTCTTATAAACTATTCCGTCTCTCTGTCAAATATGTTATTTCAGATGGCAACCGTCTCCGCTCTGGTTCTTGGGTTCCTGTTGCCATGGAGTCCAGGACTCGATCCAATAATCTCTACAGACTGAATGAGAGCTGAATGTCACGTCTGGGCATTCATCGTGGGACTTCCACTCTTTAAAACATTACTGAGCAGCCTGTAGAAATGGAAAGACATCTTCTGTTGCATGGCCTGTTAACATACAGTATTTCAGTTAAGGAAATGGGGACATCTGGTTTGTCAGTAAAGGTCCAGCTATGTCCAACATCTTGATGAAGACTCACGTGGTCCCAGACAGTCCAAACTGGGGGACTTAATAGTGATGACAGTCCTGATGGCATAAAGACCCATTATTTCCTCTGCAGCCCTTGAACAGAACTGAGGCATGGAACTACCAGGTGGAAAAGGACTCAGACCCTCTTCTGAACAGCTGGTTGCAGCTTAGGTCACCATTCTCAATGCAAACTGCTAACGGAAGCATTTTGTTTTCTCACAACCCGCCTGAATCACCATACTTCTTTCTCCTGAAGCAGGCAGTACTCATAAAAACCAACCTCTCCATATTTGGAAGAACTGGCTCCAGAGCTTCCACAGCTCAGGAGTCACCTGCCACAGCTAACACTCATGTGCGGTCTGTGAAACACAAAAGCATCTGGTGGAGGATCGCTCCTGGCTATGGCACCATGGACCCACAACTGAACAAGATACACAGCCAGCTTCTATGGTGCAGCATCAGCCTGTCCCACCGTCCTGGTAGAAGCATAAAGTTGACACAAGGGTGGGGAGGCAATGATAAAAGGGATGAACCTCTGATGCTAAGTGTAGGAGCAGTGATGGAAGGCGGACACCACCTGAGCTACTACCAGAAAAGGCCTTACATCAATGTCTGGCATCACACGTGATAAAGTGTGATGGAAGGCCGCAGGACTTCTGCTGTTGCATGGTGTAAAGACTGGTCAAGGACTTGACATCGTTGACTTCTTGAGTAAGCTGAGAACCAACTCCAGCCTTGGACTGAGCTGGGTGATCCCACTAATGGGACAATCTCCACACGTTCTTTGTAAGACTAAAGGACTGTGGGGTCACGATGCTCTTCTATTAAAAGAGCAGGCAACTTCGTCTTCAACACTGTGTTGGCCATGCCCTGTGCCACCTGCAAGGATGTCCAAGCAGCTGGATCATGGAGTTAGTTGCCATTAAGATCTCCTGGATGGAGCATCATAAAAAAGCCTGCCTGTTAGAACTTGTACTGGTAATGATAAAAATGTAAGCGCTTGATAAAGAAGGAGGCAGGGCTGGAGCACTGAGGAGTAAATGTTCTTGCCTGGATGACTCAACTGCTTGTGGTCTCGATCCCTGAAATCTAGTGTGACTCTGTATGCTACTGTGACACCAGAAGTGATGACAGCGAGGGGAGCGTAAGAGCTTAATCCCTTTGGCCTGCCAATTTTTCTACAGATGGATCCTGCCTGCAATCTACAAGTCCAATGATGATAAACAGTGATGCCCAGGCAGATGAAGGTTGACATAAAATGTCCAGAAGGCCTTGATAAGCTGCACCATCATTTCCTAAAAGGATTTGCAGAGACTTGGCTGTCCTGGTTAGTCCTGAAAGGAACAGCAATCACTTGTACAGTTGGGGCCTCCACTCACAGCCACAAAAAAAGTCTTTGAAGAACCACTTCACAGCTCTGCAGACTGAAGAGGAAAGACCCATCACATCAGGAGAGACGCTGGAGCTGAGTAAGGCAGCCCAATCTGCCCACCGTATAACAACCAGCGCCACTAAGAAAAGGCAACGGGTGACAGTAGTAGGTGACTCTCTTCTGAGAGGTACGGAGGCACCCATCTGCCGACCTGATGCACTCTCTAGAGAGGTGTGCTGCCTACGGGGGGCTCGCATCAGGGACATCACCGAGAGGCTACCAAGCCTCATACAATCCACTGACTATTATCCGCTGCTGCTGTTTCACGTGGGCACCAGTGACACAGCCAGGAGCAGTCTGAGGACTATCAAGAAGGACTACAGAGCCCTGGGAGCGGCAGTAAGGGACTC